TGGCTGCCCTGCCACTCCTTCCTTCCTGAGAAACTTAAACTTCAGATTTTAGAACTACCGACCGTGCCTGGTTCTAGTGCTTTGCTAACGGAGGCAAACTGACTGATTTCGACAGCTGCAGGAGTCAGCTTTGAATGAGAGTGATGGTTGACCGTAGCAAAAACGTAAGCGGTTTCAAGCCATCTACGGGAGTCCAGGAAAAAAACAGGTGTTAAAGAGTTGCCTCTGATGCTAATGTCTGAAGTTTTAAAAAAAAAATCACATAAACTTGCAGAGCGGGTGGGGAGTAGGCGGTGCATTTGATTTCAGCTGTCCCTCTTCTGAGTGCCAAGGGTCTCAGCCCTGAAAGTTTTCACATTTCTCCACTTAACGTCACTTACAGTGGGGAGAGATTTGCATTTGATTCTCAGCAGGTGGGATGGGTAAAGCTTGGGGCTTGCAGTTAGCCTGTGGCTGTTACATCCTCAGCAGCAGGCGTGGGGGGTGTGTGGTACCTTTCCTGGGGCTCGATCAGATCAGAGGAGATCGAAGTCAGATCCCACTGCTGAGGAGCTCTTCATCGGGCTGTGGCATAGAACAGCTGGCCAACCTTGAGAGTCCCTCATTTGCATCTATTTGCACTTCATCGGATAACAAGTTCTTCCACAACCCTCAGTGCCTTTCCTTCCAAGGTTTTGATGGTTTGCTAAGTACCAGCACACCCAGTCCCATTGGGTCCTCCCAACAGCCCATTTTATGGTTACCAGTAACAAGAGCTAGTTTTTTGTTTGTTTTTGTTTTAATTTGCCAGAGGTGTGTGCATTCACTGGCCTGACACACAGAGAAAGGAGAGAGCGAGAGAGCGAGAGAGAGAGAGACGCCCTCACCCCCACTGCCATGAGATGCTGTCATGGTCATGCTGCAATCCTTTCTCCCCCATCTCTTCCTTCTTTCACAACACGCACATGTGCCTGGTGTGTTTCTCAAGCTGTTAGGTCTGAGATTTAAACCGCATGGTTGGTCATGTGGAATCCATCAAGCCATGGACTAGCCTAGAACTAGTTTGTTTGTTTGTTTGGCATTTGTACTCTTACCAGTCTCAGTGTTAAGATTTTATTTTTGGTGTTTCTTTTAGAGGTCTTGGCCTTAGGGTTTGTGTGCTTCCCAGATAGAGAGAGAGACAGAGACAGGGAGAGAGAAAGTGAGCAATCACTCCCCCAGGTGATGGCCATGCTGCAATCCCTACTCCATTTTCCTCCTGGGATCTTGAGCATGCATGCACACGTGCCTGGCGTGAATTTCAAGCCACCAGGTCCGGGACTTGAACCATGGTCAGCCATGTGGGAGTTCAGCGACATAATCACTACGCCATCTGCTGGTCTTAAGTTTTTTTCATTTTAACTTTATTTATTTTACTCATGATATTTAAAGTTTATCCACAGTCCGTGTGCTGGGCGTGTGTGCACATGCATATACATGTGAGAGACAGAGAGAGAGAGGAGCAACCTCAACAGTCTCGCCATGCTGCAGTGCCCTTTCCCTGGCCCTCCGGTTCATTAAGATCCTGGGGCATGTATGCACAGGCCCAGCATGTTTTCAGGCCGGCCCAGGGACCTGAACCTGCACTGAGGTTCACTTTGCTACCAACTGAGTCACCAGACTGAGCCAAAGTATTTTATCGACATTATCTCTTGTAATCACCACTTTCATCCCCACTTTAAAGACAAGGGGATCAATTTAATGTGATCCGGTAGAAGCTATGATCCTTTATCTGAAACCCTGGGGCCAGATATCAAGAATTCGGAATTCGGGGGATGTGGATTATATATCGTGTGTGATACAGCATTTCCAGTGCCACAGCCCCATATAATAAGATACATCGATATTTATGCAAAGACATGTTTAAGCAGTCTCACTCAGTGGGATAGATTATAAATGGCCTCATGTCAGTTAAGGCCTTGCTGCCATCTGAATTACAAAAAGGTGTTTGGGTTTCAGAGTATTTTGGACTTGTAGGTGACTACCCTAGGAGCCACCATGGCTCAGGGTGACCCAGTTTCCTATGTGAAATTGGGACTCAAATCCCAGTTGAATCCAGTGCCTGGTCTTACCACCATCCACGCTTTTCTGAGGGAATGACATCCATGCTGAGAGGTGGCCTCAGATGGAGAGCTGTGTGCTCCCAAATCCTGACTACTACTTTTTTTTTTTTTTTTAATTTGCTAGAGGGTGTATGCCTGTGCTTGTCAGAGACAATCAGAGAGAGAAAGAGAGGGAAAGTGAGTACGCATGGTCCAGCGGTGGGTGATGGCTATGCCTCAATCCCTTCTCCATTCTCTCAGGATTTGGGGCAGGATGCACATATACCTGGTGACCAGGACTCAAACCACGCTGTCAGTCATGTGGATCCAACTGCCTTAATTACCATGCCTCCAGCTGGTCCTAAACCTTTTTTTAAATTTTTTTGTTTTTGCTATAGGGTGTATGTGCTCGCCAGACAGACAGACAGAGACAGAGAGATAGAAAGCAAGAAATCACCCCCCGGGGGGATGGCCACGCCGCAATCCCTTCTCCTCCATTCTCCTCTCGGGATCTTGGGCATGCACATGCATCCGGCGTGAGTTTAAGCCACCAGATCCGGGACGCAAACCGCGGTCAACTACGTGGGAGTCCAGCGACATAGCCATTACGCTAACTGCTGGTCCCAAACCTTCAGTTTTCTATACTCAATGCTAGTGTCATTGACACAGACTGCAAATAGATTTTTTCGGTAGTGGGGTTGAATTGCATGCAGCCATCTGCATTTTTACATTTTTGCATGAGCTCTGGTTTCCAGCTGACGTGATATGTAAAGGAAGGAACCCTGAGGCTGAGGTTGGTTACGTGTAGTCCAACAGGCTCATCTCTGGGTGGTGGAGTACTTGGGAATACCACCCATCATAGGCTTACTGAAAGTTAGCCTATGTGGCTCTGTGGCCTGGTGATTAAGGCAGCCAGATCCCATATGGCCAGCCTCTTGGTTTGAGTCTTGGACCTGGTGGATTGAAAAACACACCAAAGCGAACCAGCAGTTAGTGTAATGGCTATGTCACTGGACTCCCGCGTAGTCGACCACGGTTCGCGTCCCAGACCCGGTGACTTAAAACTCACGCCAGGCACGTGTGCGTGCGTGCCCAAGATCCCGAGAGGAGAATGGAGGAGAAGGGATTGCGGCGTGACCATCCCCTCTGGGGGGTGATTTCTCGCTTTCTGTCTCTATGTCTCTCTCTGTCTGTCTGGCGAGCACACATGCCCAATAGCAAAAATCTCTCAATTAAAAAAAAAAAAAAAAGAAAAAACACACCAGACATGTACGTATGGCATACCAGCCCAAATCCCAAAAGGAAGGAGAAATGAGGGAGAAGAGATTGCATTGTGACCATACCCCATGTGCGTGTGGAGGGCTTTCTCTCTCTCCCTCTCTCTTTCTGTCTCTTTGTCTCTCTCTAGCGAGCATACATGCCCTCTGGCAAAAAATTTTTAAAAGAGAAAGAAAACTGAGGTTAGGTTATGACATTGAATTTATTCTGGCTTTTTCTGTTTCCAAGTGGAACTTCTAATCAGGAAGGAGTGTCGAGGCTGAAAGCCGGTTCTTCCTCTTCTTTAATTGGATTTTGTAATAAGAGTGATGTAACACGAGAGATCTGAGACTGGAATCATCTAAGAACTGTACTGGAAAATAAACTGTCCCCAGAAGGGCCAAAATTTCAGTGTTATTTCATTCATTTACTAACTATTTATTGAGGGCCGTGTCTGCAGGGTTCTAGAGACCAAGGTGATATGAAACACACCTCTGCCCTCCAGAAGCTTGGAGACTAACTGGTCCAGGCGGAAAGAAAGACATGTGGACATTACCACTGAGTCACCTCCAGAACAATGTGTCTAGCACAGGAATAAAATAATGGGGAAACCCAAGGAGAGAAGGGGCTGTTGGCTGGTGATTGTGGTGGGGTGGGATGTGGGAAATTGTAACAAAGGCAATGATATTTGAGGCATAGCTGGTTTGCAGTCACCCCAAAATTTGCATGTTCAAGTGAGAACTCATGACTTCTTTTTTTAAGGTTTATTCTATGAGCAAGAAGACAGGAAGGAGGAGAGAAAGAAACACTGAGACAGCATCCTCAGCAGGGTCTTCACACGCTGGGATCCTCTGACTGGGATCCCCCTCCCCCCTTCATCCAGCCCTAGGTTATGGGCATGCGCATGCCTGGTGGATTCAAGGAGGTCTCTGGATGCAAACCTGGAGGACCTGGAATCTTGCCAAGTAGTTCAGCTTTGCAGAGCGGCAGGCATGAAGTCAGTGTATCAAGAGCAGCAGTGCTAGGCTGTGACTAGCTAGGCTGTGGCTCCCCACAGCCACAAGCAAAAAAAATGGGAGTGATCTGAGTCGAGAGGCCACTGGAGTCCCTGGGAACCATTTACAGCTCCTCCCTCACTCTCTCACATCCATGTCTGATCCGGACACTTTTTCCTGAAGCCCCAGGGTAGCCCTTTACATCCTGCCCAGCCAGGTAGCTGCCTCTGCCAGTCGAACTGGCCTAATTTGCCATTGCAGGCCTGTGCAATTTAAGGCAGAACACACTGCTCAGCGCTAAATATGTATTGAGCTATCCTTTTAGGGAGAAGGTGGGCAGGAGTATATATATATATATATATATATACACACATAATTTTTGGAAGATTTTTGCTATCGAGCGTGTGTGCTCACCAGCAAGACAGAAAGAGAGAGACAGAAAGCGAGAAATCACCCCCCAGGGGAGATGGCCATGCCGTAACCCCTTCTCTATTCTCTCAGGATTTTAGGCATGTACACACACATACCGGGTGTGATCTTTAAGCCACTAGGTCCAGGATTTGAACTGCAGTTGACTACGTGGGAGTCCGATGACGTAACCACTATGTCATCTACTGATCCCCAGAAGCATTTTTTAAAAAACAGATTTCGTTTATTTTTTTTTCCTTCTTTTTTTTTTTTCTTCCAGGAAAAAATAATGAATGTCAAAGGAAAAGTCATTCTGTCGATGCTGGTTGTCTCCACTGTGATGGTTGTGTTTTGGGAATATATCAACAGGTAATTATGAAGCATGACGAGATGAAATGATGTTGGTAGCAGTACTGTTCAGACTCTCTTGTACTAGTATCAGACAAGTCACCAGGAAGAATTAAAATGATAATGAACCGAAACTGAAACTAAGGGAGTTTACTCTTTCTGAATTCCCTAGCCTTGAACATCTTTAAAAATCATTAAATCTTGGGGCCAGCAGGTGACATAGTGGTTGGGCGCTGAACTCCCACATGGCCCACTTTGGTTTGAGTCTTAGACCTGGTGGCTTGAAATTCACACTGGGAGTGTGTATGTGTGCCCAGGATTCTGGAAGGAGAATAGAGGAGAAGGGATCGTGATGTGGCCATCCACTCGAGGTGTGATTTCTCACTTTCTCTCTCACTGTCTCTTTTTGTCTCTGGCAAGTGCACTGGCACTGCAGCAGAAATCTAAAAAAATAATAATAATAATAATTTTAAAAAATCGTTTAATCTCCCAAATGAATTCTGGCTAATTAATTATCTTCCTGCTGTTTACATTATCTTGATTTTTTTTTTTAAATTGGTAGGCTAGATCCAGAGAGAGTAAAGTCAAATTAAACCCCAAATGTTATTTTAAACAATTGGTGTGTCCACCCTGAATTTTGTAATCCTAAGATATTTGTGGAGTTTAAAGGAGCAGCTCGAGTTGTTGACTTTTGCTGCAAATACCCACTGGATTACTGGTGACTCATTTGTGCCTGGCTAAAACTTTTGGGTCCTTTTTTTTTTTCTTAATTTTTTTTAAGTCTGGAAAGAAAAGTCAGTTAAACATTTCTGAGTTTTAAAAGTCACCTGTGAATTCACCTCAAATACATGAGTTGCCTTTGTTTTTGGGAACTAAAAGGCCTTGGAGAGAGTCTACTCAGAGGGTCTTCTGACAGAGGGTCTTCACAAGTAGCTACAGAAAACAATGGCAACTGACTCAAGACACCCTGGTGAAGCTCCGCTTTCAGGATTGAAAAGCCCACTGTGCGATGAGTCATGTAAAGCTGTCTTGCTATGATAATATTTTCATGGAGAAGTATTTCAGTGGTCCCCAAATTCAAGACAGTGGCCTGGATTAATATTTGACTCTCTTTCAATTCTTAAATTTTAAGATTTGATGAGTCAGCAGGACTAAATTGGCTACCAAAAAAGGAATAATAATGTGGGACCAGCCGATAGCATAATGGCTACGTCCCTGGACTCCCATGTAGTCAACTGCGGTTCGAGTCCCGGACCCGGTGGCTTAAACTCACACTAGAACGTGTGCGTGCGTGCGTAAGATCCCTAGAGGAGAATGGAGGAGAAGGGATTGCGGCGTCGCCATCCCCCCTGGGGGGTGATTTCTCGCTTTCTGTCTCTCTGTCTCTCTCTGTCTTTCTGGCGAGCACACGGGCCCTATAGCAAAAACCCTCTCGGAAAAAAAAAAAAAAGAATAGGACCAGTCTCATTGGCTTAGTGGTTAAGAGAGCTAGATCTCACATGACTAACTGTGCAGTTCAAGTCCGGCCCTCGTGGCGTCAAAATGTGCCAGGCACTCTGTGTACACCCTAATCCTGGCAGGATGGAGAAATGGAGAAGGGATCGCAATAAAACGATGCCCCGTTGGGGGTGATTTCTCCTTGTCTCCCTTGTTTCTCTGGTGAGTGCATGTACCCTCTGGGAAAATTAAAAACAAAAACAAAAAAACCTGTAACTTTAGGTGAGTTAGCTATAGTGTGGAGACTAGGTCTTTCTGAATTGAGGAAACGGAAGTATTTAATCCAAAGAAGAGAAGGGGGCTCCCTTAGGCACCTGAGGGCTGAAGGAGTCTTCTGGCCCGATTCCAGCCTAGGCTGCCTGGTGGCAGCACTTAACCTCCTCTATGACCTGGGCAAGATACTCAGCCACTTTGTGCTTCCATTTCTCTAACGTGCAAACGGGGGACCCTAGTACCTGCCTCACGGTGCTATTGGGAGAATGAAATGCCTTCTCATGGAGAAAGCCCTTGGGACAATGTCTGGGCCTTAACAAGCACTTAATAAATGCTAACAGCCATCATTACCATCAGTAACTTTATAGCTTAGGCCTACAACCAACTACCATAAACTGGGTGACTAAAACAGCTGGAATCTGTTGCTCGCAGTAGAGGCTGGGGGGGTCCTAGGTCAAGGTGCTGGCCAGTTCGGTTCCCCAGAGAGGACTGTTCCCCTGGCTTGCAATGGCCACCTTCTTTCTCCACCCACACAGGACGGAGAGAGAGTAAGCTATGTTCTCCCCTCCCCCCTTTTCAGAAGGATGCTAATCCCATAATGGGAGGGGGAGGTTCACCCTCATGACCTCATCTATGCCTGGCTACCTCTCAAAGGCCCCCTCTCCAAATACCAGTGCACTGGGGTATGTCATAGGGGGAGGGGACCCAATATTTACTCGGGAAGAGTCATGGTTGTCATCTGCTCCAGCAGGCAAAAGAGGATGAGATGTTGGCAAATACAAGGAAGAGCTTCAGTAGCTGGAAAAGTCGGGCAGAAGAAAGTGTCCTCTGGGGCTCCTGCCCAGAGCTGGAATGCTTGTTTGGATAACCTTTAAGCTCTGAGCTGGAACATTTGATTGGATAATTTTGGTGCCTTGAATTGTAGCCAGAGTTGGGAATCCATGTTTTGGGTAGTTTACAAAACTAAAACAGGGGCGTTAAGTGTACATCCTGGCACTGGCTCCTCAGAAAGGAGTTACTTTTCAGTGCCAGGCACGTACTGTCTGCATGGTTGCTCTTCAAGGCCCCTGGACTTGGGCCACATCCCTCTCTGTTGTGTGAACCCACCAGATGTTGGTAAGAGGCTTTGAAGGGGCCAGATCTCTTGCTACTTGATGAGCTGACCCTGTGCTGGCTTGAGTGAGCCGAGGATACTAACCTTTGACAGGTGGGCAGCACTGAGCCCAGGATTTAAAAATAACTGAACTGAACATACTGACTAAATCCTAAGCAGGAGAACTGCTGTCAATAAAGCGTCCAGAAAGAATGTCATCCAGGACAGCATTTAATTCATGACTGGATGAAAAAAATCATCTTAGACTTTTAGAGCTAGAGAAAACCTCTAATTTTTTTTTTTTTTTGGAGAGATTTTTGCTGTAGGACATGTGCACTTGCCAGAGAGACACTTTTAGAGAGAGAAAACCTCTAATTTTTTTTTTTTTTGGAGAGATTTTTGCTGTAGGACATGTGCACTTGCCAGAGAGACAGAAAGCAAGCAATAACCCTCAATAGGAGATGGCCATTCTGCAATCCCTTCTCCTCCATTCTCTTCTCAGGATTTATGCCATCTGCTGATCCCAGAAACCTCTAAAATTTCAAGAAAATAACATTGGGGCTGGCTGGCAGCATGATGGATAAGGTGCTAGACTCCCACATGGCCAAACATTTTTGAATCTTGGACCTGACGGCTTGCTTTCTCACTTTCCCTCTCTCTCAGTCTCTTTCTGGTCAAATTAAAAATAAATAAGTAAATAGGAGCTGGCAGGTGGCGTGGTGGTTCAGGCAGCTTGACTCTCACATGGCTGACCACGGTTTGAGTCCCAGACCTGGCAGCTTGCTTTCTCACTTTCCTGTTCTTTCTCTGGTCAACTTCAAAAAAATAAAAATAAAATAATAACAATGAATAAAATTAAACAAAAAAAAAATTCTTTAAAAAAATAAATGAGTAGGGACCAGCAGTTAGCGTAATGGCTATGTCGCTGGACTCCCACGTAGTCGACCATGGTTCGCGTCCCGGACCCGGTGGCTTAAAATTCATGCCGGGCACATGTGCGTGTGTGCCCAAGATCCCGAGAGGAGAATGGAGGAGAAGGGATTGCGGCGTGACCATCCCTCCTGGGAGGTGATTTCTCGCTTTTTGTCTCTCTGTCTTTGTCTGGCGAGCCACGCGCCCTATAGCAAAAACCTCTCCCCCCGCAAAACAAATAAATAAATGAGTAAATAAATAAAATTTAATGAATGATTCTTTAAAAGAAAGTAATAATGATGGTGATGGCAATTATGATGACAGTTGCTACTAGCTGTTGAGCACTTACGTGTAACAGGAATGGTGCATGGTACCTATCACTTTTATAATACCCTGCAAAGTGGGTATTATTCTGGGGCCAGCAGGTGGCATGTTAAGGCACTGGACTCCCACATAGCCAACTGCAGTTCGAGTCCTGGATCTGGTGACCTGAAACTCATGCTGGTCCCGTGTGTGTGCATACCCAAATCCATGGAGAATGGAGGAGGAGGGATTGCTATCACTTTCCCTCTCACTGTCCCCCTATTTCTCTCTCCTGCGAACGCACATGCCCTATGGCAAAAAACCTAAAAAGAGAAAAGAAAAGAAGAAAAGAAAAGAAAAGAAAAGAGAGTATTATGACAAGTTTCTAGATGAGGACACTGAGCTTCAAAAATGTTAACTGTTTGGACCAGCAGATGGTATAATGATTGCTGCTGGATTCCCACGTAGCTGACCCCGGTTCGAGTCCCAGACCCAGCAGCTTAAAACTCACGCCAGGCGTGTACACATGTGTGCCCAAAACCCTGAGAGGAGAATGGAAGAGAAGGGACTGTGCTATGGCCATCCCCCGTGGGGGGGTGATTTCTCACTTTCTGCCTCTCTGTCTTTCTCTGTTTCTTCAGCGAGTACACATTCCCCATAACAAAAATCTCTCTTAAAAAATATGTTAATGTGTTAATGTTCACGGTTACATTATCAGGAAGATAATGTGTCTGACAACAGCTCACTATACAAGTCACGGGTCCCTGTGTGTTAAGTGACAAAATGGAGACCAAATAGGTGAAATGATTTTTTTTTTTCTTTCTTTTTGGTTTCTCTAACTTGAAGAGAAACACCTTCAGAGATGAGGTGGCTGGGGCGAGCTGGGCACAGGGCTAGGACAGATGCTCGAGCCCAAGACCAGAGCGCTCTCTGCCTCAGGCAGGGCCTCCCTGCACAGAACAATGCAGTTATCCAGCACGAGTCCTGTGGCTTTTATCCCCCAGATCTCTCAGGTTGGTGCACTTCCTGCCCTGATCCTTGGCTGCCAAACCACTGCCAGCACCTCCTCACTGGTCTCCCCCACCCACTCCCTCTCTCCCTGGGGCCTACTCTCCAGGGACCTTTACAAATGCTTATGAATTCCTGCCCCTCCCCTGCTCAAAACTCTAGAAGGGCCAGAGTCCTAGCAGGACCAGCAAGATCTGGTTTCTGGCTGTCTCTTTCATTTCCTTGTAGGTGCTCCTTCCTTCCTTCCCACCTCAGGGCCTTTGCACAGCTTTCAGGCTGTTGGGAATACTCTTCTACTTCCTCTTCTCCTGGGGAATTCCTGCCCTTCAGAACTCGCTAAAACACCTGCCTCTCCTCCAGGAACCCTTCTTGTGCTGCCTGGGCTTCTCCTCTGTTGTGCTTCTTGGAGCATGAAGTCGGGCAGCTATGTGGCACTGAAGAGGGTCTGCCGTCTCTACTAGGATGAGGACCGTGTCTGTCTTGGCCAACAGTGACACATGCCCAGCTGGTGTTCATTGAATGCCTGAGCAGGGGACCCACTAGAAGAGTCAGCAGTTCCCTGGCCCAGCCTCGTAGGTGCTTTAGGACTGTCTCGCTGCCTCGTTAGGTAAAGCCATGCCATTGGAGCTGCCCTGTGGAAGGTTCTGAACTGGACTTGGTGTTCGGCTCTGCTGCTGGTGCTTCATTTTCTGGAGGAATATAAATCCTGAGTGGAAGATGGCTGGACCATGGCGTTTCCGTCCTCCAGGGCCTTCTTCATCACTAGAGGCCCCTGAGAGGAGCAGGAGAGGACCCATCAGTAAAGCTATCCCTGGGCAATGGAGAACAGGCTGTCTACTTTTTAAAAAACAACCACAATTTGGTGTTTTTTGTTTTTTTTTTTTAACCCACAATTTGAGATTCTAGAGACCTCTTTATCTTTCCCTTGAGGTCCTGAAGCAACTGCAAATTGAAATTCCCAGTCTCCTGCTATCACTGGTTATGTCCCTAAGGAAGGCAGAAATGTGGGAGGAACCCAAACCCTGGCTCTTAGCTCACCCCAGGGCATCATTGATAATGGGGACGAAATAGCCTTTCTCAGAATTAAAAGTAACATGATATGATTTTATTTCTTGTTTGCTTTTAGCCCAGAAGGCTCTTTCTTGTGGATATATCACTCAAAGTAAGTGCTTTGCATTCTAGTTATCTATTTTTCTTTTTTTTTTTTCAATTTGCCAGTCAACTTGTGTGCTCACCAGAGAGAGAAAGAAAAAGCACCCCCTGTTGGGGCGTGGTCACACTGCAATTTCTCTCCACTGTTTCTTTATCCCTTCAGGACTGGGGGCATGCATGCACCAGCCCGTGGTGTGTTTTTCAAGGCACCGGAGCTGGGTTGGACAGGTTCAGCCACATAGAATCTGGCTCCATCACTGGGCCACGGGATTGGCCCTGGATTCTACTTATCTACTGGATGTCTCCCACTGGCGCTCTGGCACCCCCTATAGCCCGCTCTTCATGGGACAGTGGGGGTGGTGCTCTAGCCAAAGCTGAGGGAAGCACGTGATGCCTGGGGCTCTGGACCGTATTTCTCTGGCCCATCATACCTGTCCTTATTAGAACCATAGCTTGTGTTTTGCCTTCAGTTCTCATCAAGGGTCTTTTGAAGTGGTATCATTTGGGGAACATTCCTGTCTTGTTGAGAAAAAAGGAACCTAGGAAGATATTATCTTTTATTCTGTCTGGTATATGTGATCCAAAGACCCATGCAAGAAATTGCTCAGAGAATAAGAACCAGGAGAAAGTCTGAATCTCTTGACGAACTAGTGTGTACAAGAGCCATGCGAACTTTCGTGTCCCTGCCTTGGCTTTGGTGGCCAGGACGCCCAGAGCAGTGTCATACGTTATTGCCTATATGGGCCATGAACTTCATTTCCGATAAGTCGTCCTCCCTAGTGCCCTCAGGTGATTGGTTAGGACCCCCAATCTCCCACAAAATACCAGTATCTGGGGATGTGTAAGTCTCTCATATAAATGGCGTAGATTTGCACATAGCCTACACGCTTCCTCCCTCATGCTTTCAATCATCTCCAGGTTACTTCAATGCCTAATATAGGGCCGACTCCACAGCCTGGTAGTTAAGGCATCTGGATCCCATAGGGTCGACCCCATGGTTCGACCCAAAAGACCCAGTGGCTTGGGAAACACACCAGCTGTGTGTGGGTACATGCCCAAATTCTGAAAGAGAAAGAGAAGGAGGGGAAGGGAGTGCGATGTCGTTGGTCCCTTTGTAGGGGAGGAGTGCTTTGTCCTCTTTCTCTTAATGTCTCTTTGTCTCTGGTGAGTACACTCGACCTCTAGTGAAAAAAAAAAGAAAGAAAGAAAACCGTGAAACCTAATACAATGTGAGTGCTATGTAAATAGCTGTTATACTGTATTGTTTAGGGAACAAGGATGAGAAAAATAAGTCCACTGTAGACTTTAAAACTGCGTCATATTTGATGCACCAGAGTGACCTTTTTCAGTCTATGGTTGGTTGACTCTGTGGGCAAAGATCCTTCAGGGTTGACTATAATTTATGCCCTAGTCTTCAGTCCTGGCTTCATGCTTACGTGGGACCGTGGCAACTTGCTCAAACCTACTCACCCAGGATCTCCACTGTACAATGAAAATAAAGGTATAATCTTTGTTGGGGATGACCAAGATCATGTGAAGATATGCACGAGTGACTAAATCAATGTTTTCTCTTTCTGTTCCCTTTTGTGTTTGATTCTCGGGTTGTTTTCCCATCAGTTACACCTTTGTGTCATCGGCCATCTCCAACACTTCCTTTAAAACAGGCTTCTTAATATTGTTATGCCTGTTTGCAAAGGGGCTGATCACCTCATTTATCCAACTCAAGGACACGGTATCCCCTGGCTTCTTCCTTGTCTCTTTTACTCTGAAGGCTCTCGCCGTGAAGAGACTCTCACGGTGAGAAGGGGCAGAATATTTTTCAATCTGGTGGCTCAAGTGGCTTCTCATTACGGTTTCTTGAACTTTCTGTTCTGTGACCCTCAGGTTTCCCAAGGTTGTCATTGCTGCCGACCTTTGGACAACCCAAATCCCCCTAGTTTAGCAAAAGAGATCATTCTTGGAAATGTGCTAGTTTTTATTAAGGCTATAACTTGCTACAGTAATGTGCAAGTTATGAAGCTCTTTTACATATGTTATGTTATTCAGTCTTCAAAATTACCTTCATAGGAGGTTGATTACTTTACAGGTTGAGTCTCCCTTATCGGAAATGCTTGGGACCAGAAATGTTTCACATTCTGAAGTTTTTTCAGATGTTAGAATATTTCCCATCACATGAACTATCTTGGGAATGGGACCCAAATCTAAACAAATTCATTTATATTTTGTATACATCTTATACATATAGCCCAAAGGTAATTTTATACAATATATATATTTTTTAATTGCCAGAGGGTGCATGTGCTCATTTGAAAGACGAAGAGAGAGAGGGAAGGGGAGAGACAGAGAAACCCCCACCCCACCCCATTGGAATAGTCATGCCACAATCCCTTTTCCTCCACTTCTCCATCCTGTCAGGATTTTGGGTGCACACATACTCATGCCCAGTGTATTTTACAAGCCACCGGGGCCAGGGTTCCAACTGCAGTTGGCCATGAAGGATCTGGCTCCCTTAACCACTCGGCCATGGGCTGGCCTGTATATGATATTTTTGTATTGTAGCATTTTGACTGTGACCCATCACATGAAGTCAGGTGTGGAGTTTTCCCGTAGAGGCATCATGCTGATGTTCAGAAAATTCCAGATTTTGGGGTATTTCAGATTTCAGATTTTCAGGAGGAATTCAAAATGCTGAGAGGGAAAATGCCCTGTTACAGTCACACGATAGTAAGTGGCAGATCAGGACATACATACATGTCTATATTTATACCTGTGTGTTTTTTAATTACCAGCGAGTACCCGTGCTCACCAGAGAGACACAGAGAGAAGGAGGGGGTGGGAGAGGGAGAAAGCAACACCTGATGGGGTACGCTCAGACTGCAATCCCGTCTCCTCTGCTTCTCCAGCCTGCTGAGATTTGGGGCATTGACACTCGTGCCCAGTACGCCTCTTAAGCTGCCAGCGCTAGGATTCAAAATACATGATCGGCACGTGGACCTGGCTCCCTTAACCAAGGGGCTGGGCCAGAGTTGATACCTTAATGTTACTCCTTCCCTACCCCATCTTCATTGCCTCTCCTGCTGGGACTCCCTGAATGAGCTGAGTGTGGTGGGGGCTGTCTGAGGAAAGAGGAATGGAGGGAGTTTCAGTTCCATCCTCTGTCAGCCAGAGCGCTTCGCTTATTTCTGTTTTATGAATGGCCATTTTACTTTTTTTTTTAAAGGGGACTCTGCCATAAAAAGAAATTGGAAATCCCCAGGTGGGGGGACTGTTTCATTTTCTAAAAGTATTTTTAATCTTTTTTTTTTTTCTTAGAAACCCTGAAGTTGGTGACAGGACTCAGAAGGACTGGTGGTTTCCCAGCTGGTTTAACAATGGGTAAGTGTGTCTCTTCCCACTCACCCAGTGCCTGTAGACATTCCAGATGAAATGTGTTCATGCTTGTGGCCTTCTTGGTCCTCATCTTTCTTGGCCATTGAAATCATATGAGAAATCTATTTTGTGAGTGGGACTAAGACATTTAACATTTTTCTTTTTCTTTTTCCCCTTTTCAGTCTCCTAGAGGGCACCTGCACTTGCTAGGGACAGAGAGACAGGATTCCCCCCAGTGGCCACAGTCTCTTCCTCACCTCTCCATCCTCTCCACATGTACACATATGCGTGGTGTGGTTTCCAAGCCACCAGGGTCGGGACTGGAACCACTTGGTGGGCCATGTGGGATCTGGCTCCCTCAACCACTAGGCTATGGGGCCAGCACCTCCCCACCCCCCAAGCTTTTTTAATTGCCAGAGTGTACCTGGGGTTGCCAAAGAGACGTCCTGTGGAATCTTGGGCATGCACACCTACACGCCACACATGTTTTCCAAGCCACCAGGGCCAGGATTCAAACTGTGGTCAGTCACATGGGATCCACCTTCCTTAACCACAAGACTATAGACCTGGCCCAAGATTTTTTCCCCCCCCAGTTGACTTGGGATTGAGGCTGCAGCCGAAGTTTAGATTTCAGGGAAGATGATCATAAACTAAAATGTTCCTATTAAGTTTCTCCTGCCCTCTGAAATAACCTGAGGTCGCTGGACCATTAAATTGCTAACTGCACTGACTTGGAAATATTAGAGAAAAGGCATGTATCACACCTTTTCATTAAAGGACTGCCTTTATATACAAAGATGTATAGTAATTATACGGGAATCATCAATTGCAATAAATATTTAAAGAAAAAAAAGAGACTGTCTTTATGAGTCAACATTTAGTGTCATGGGCCTTTCTCCAGCCAGTTCACCGGGTGCCTGAATTCTGTGCCCCAGAACACGTTTTCACAGGAGAGTCCCCCACTGTCCGGCTGCTGTAGATCATCCTCCTTGCTTTCTCTCTTTC